AGATTCTAAAAATAACTCCACCTTTGAATAATCTAATTATAATTCAATGGTATGTTTTCAGTCTTGAATTCCCAAAATAGAATATCTCCACGCTTACTCTTTAACAAAGACATTTCATGAAACCGAAAGAGTTTTAATGGTTTTATTAATACAAAAGTATTAATAATTTTTGTATTATATATATATATAATTTTTGTATTTTATTTATATAAGAGTCTGTTGACCTATTTTAATGATCCATTGTATTTGGCGTATGTGCCTATTGGCCTAGGCCCCTGTAAAATTTCAAATATATACCTTTGGATTCGCTCCTCTCAGTCTGTGGCAAATTTAGATAAACTCTTAACCAAAAGACTAGTGTTTTACTTGGAAGATAAGAATATTATTCATGAGAACCAATATGGCTGCAAATCTGGGAGGAGTATGGAAGATGCTATTAAAAGGATCACTGATACCGTTGTAGAAAACAAAGCTCACGGTAAGCATACTGTAGGGGTGGCTCTGGATATTGAAAATGCTTTCAACAAAGCAGATTGGAAAATATTAAAGAATAACATCAATGGTCTCGGATTACCGGATAACATTACCGGGTGTATCTTTAGCTTTCTGGATACCAGAACGATTATGTTTAATGATAGTGAGGGTAATATTATTGTCGAGAAAGCTGCCAACATAGGGGTGCCACAGGGCTCTTACCTTGGTCCTATCCTGTGGCTCATTTTAATCAATACTGCATTTAGCTTTTCTAATCATATAGATTTTACAAATTTCATTGATTTAAATCACAGTGATTTTAAGCTCATCGCTTTTGCCGATGACCTTTTTGTTATGGTCGGTTGTCCGATTTTTTACCATTTCGATTCCCTGGTGACCTATATTCTTTCTCAACTCTCTGCCTGGGCCGAGTCTAACAGTCTTAATTTTAGCAAAGAAAAAACCCAAATGATCAATTTCTTCACAGTTAATTTAAGCTCATCGCTTTTGCCGATGACCTTTTTGTTATGGTCGGTTGTCCGATTTTTTACCATTTCGATTCCCTGGTGACCTATATTCTTTCTC